TTTATTTAAATATTTTAAAATTTAAAAAATATAGATTATAAGTATATTTTTGTTAATTTTCTAGGCAAATTTGCCTGGAAATAGTCTACAGTTTAAGAGATATCTGCTAAAAAAACTTTGGCCATTGTTTCTAAACATTTAATTGCCCCAGCAAAACCAATTTATCGATTTCTTAGATTAATTTTATTAACAGATAGTACTGCAAACACAATTATTGCTAAAATTGATCAGTTTTTTTAAACAAAACATATATCATATAATAATTTAATGCATATTTGTACAGATGGTGCCAGTACAATGATAAGTACTTATTAAATTTTTTTTTTATTATTCTTTATATCATCTTGCAGGCAAATTTGCCTGCAATTTTATGATTAATCTGTAATAAACTACAAATGTAGTTTATATTGTAGTACAATTAAAGTTAAATTGATAGTATAATGATATGTATATTTTTTTTTTTAAAAAAAAAATCAATTTCTATAATTATTGTACTATAGGTTTTTGTATCGACATAGCAACTCAACTTAAAAATAAAAATCCATTTATTTTGAAACATCATTGTATTTCTTATAAATTAGCATTAGATGCAAAAGATGTAGCAAAACAAGATGAAGAATTTAAACAATATAAAAAAACTGTATATAATATTTATAGTTATTTTTCACGAAGTCCAGAACATATGATGCATCTTAGAATAATAGAAAAAGATCTTGGTGACCTGCATCTTATAGTTTTAAATATTATTAAAACTTATTAGTTATCATTATCCAATGTTATTCAAAATTTGCATCAAATTTTAAATTCAATAATTGATGCATTGTTTGAGGATTCATATAATAATACAGTTGCTAAAGCTTTATATAATAATATTGATAAGAAATTTATTATTACAACAAAATTTTTTGCTGATATTCTTGGCATATTACAGCAAATGAATCTTCTTTTTCAAAAAAATTATATTACTATTCATGAAGTAAAAACCTAATTTGATATTACTATTTATACTATTCAATCACAATTTCTTGGAATAGATGGAGTTGAACCATTTTGGAGAACTCATTTGTGCAAATATATGAATGATTATAATATTATAGCAGAAGAATTACCTATTATTATTACAAAATTTGCATATGCTTCAATTAAATCATTAGAAAAGATTTCCAAACTGAATTCAAGTTGATGCATTTCATATTTTTAATCCAATGGCTTTACTAGTTGAAAATTCTTTATTTCAAAAATATGATAAAGATGAAATTGAAATTTTGGGTAATTTTTATGGTTAAAGCAAAAATATATTAGGAAATTTAATTTCTGCAATTTTAAATTTTGAAAATTTAAATCACGACTAGTCATCAGTTAGATTCCTTCTAACTAATTATAAAAATTTAAATTTTTTAGAACTGTGGAAACATATTTTTTCTGATCTTTCTACTTTTAATGAAATTTACCCTAAAACCACAAACTTAATTTCTATTTTAGCTAATCTTCCTTTAACTAATGCAGTTGTTGAATATATTTTTTCTCAACAAAATTTAATTAAAACAAAACTTCGAAATTATATGAATATTTTTACTTTAAATTATCTTCTTTTTATTTCTTTTAATGAATCTAAATTAGAAAATTTTAATTTTCAATTAGCATATTAAGAATGATGTAAACTTGATCATAGAATTAAATAATGTTATTCTATATCTACTTCTTTTAAGATAGTAGATAACTAGAGCAATCTTAGACAGTGAACACTTTTTGTAATCTCACTTGTTACTGTATTATAACTAAGTTAGAAGGCATTTTATTTTAGAAAACTTAACAAAGAAGATTTAAGGCAATTTGCAATTACGAAAGAGGCTACAATTAAA